ATAACTGTACGAGTTATGCATAAGAGCTATAAATTAACAGTAATGTCAACTCTTAAATTTGCAAGCGTAGATCAAGTAACCAAGTTAGATCAGTATTATAGTATAGAGAAGATATTGAACAAATCTTAAAATAAGAAATATTTTTAAATAAAAATGCTTAGCATCATTTCTACCTTTATGTCAGAAGAGAAGTTTGTAACTGTCTTTTTGTATCCTCCTTTCTTAAGTTGAAAATTCATCCACCTCAATAATATCTTTTCTGGAGGTAGGCTCATCAACTCTTCCACGTCCTGGCAGTTAGAGAATTCAATAATGTCTTCCAAATAATCTGCTGCTAAAAGATTTGTAGAAGTAAAGCTTTCTGTAACAGAGCATACTATATAATTCAAAGGCCATCATCATTACCTTACTATCATCAACCAACTCCACCAACTGAGGGGTCTTTTTGAGGTTGAGGTCTGCCAATAATTGTATCTGGTACGATAACCATTAGGACAAGTGAATTAATCTAAACATTAAACTTGCAAATGTTTAACACAGAAAAGTAATGATAATTAATCTATGGTAAACACCAGTGTAAACAATATAATGTTCGAAGTTTCTATACATATAAATTATTATTAATTTTTTTTAAAAAAAAGAACATAATGTTAAAGGCTCGTCGCAGCATTTTACCTTAATAATCTGAGATATAAGTCCAAGTACAAGATGCCGCTGCAAATGAAAACGGATAATTTAGAACTCATACCGATCAGTGAAGTTGTAAAATTACTCAGAAGACCATTCCAAATTAACGAAATTTCTTGATAATTTAGAACTCATACCGATCATTAATCTGTATAGCTTCCAACATACAGATTAATCATCTTAAAATCCTACAATTCCGTTAATTCATCCCATTAACCAATACCTAAAAAATTATGTTGAGTGTCAAACCCCATAAATGTAATTTGCTTCCCACTTGTTCCTAAATATTGATAAATTTTCACTTTCTAAATATTCGAAGTTGAATGGTATGGAAAATTTAGTAGAAATAATTTCTTGACTGTGTTTATTATGATAGCAAAGGGAAATATGCATACCCTTCCTTCAATAAAATCCTGTGTTCCAATATTTACTACGGTACATCCAATGGCCTTGGCAGAGTTGAGGCAAAGTGTATGATTTTCATTTCTTTCCCAAGGATTAAGCACAGCCTTGGTATTGATTGCACGATCATCAATAGTTCCAGGAACTGCCACATTGATGAGTTTACTGTATTCACCAATAACAGAATTTGTCATTGTAATCGAATCCAATCAAGTTAAGAATACTGATGATACTGAGAACTTACCAGAGAAGAACTCCGTCCTTCGCAATCTCAAATAGATTGTTCGTGGAAGAGTCTATGGGGAGGTATCTCTTAAGAAATTTATCTTGTGAAAGGTAATTGTTGATATGTGCGACATAAGATGCCTTCTCCGATTCGCTAATTGTATGAAGCAAAGTAGTGGTGGCGGCCTTGAGAAACGCCGATGAATTTTTCGCACCACTTCCAGTTCTAGCACTTGCATGAGCTTGCAATTTCAGATAAACCTACCATGTTTATAAAACAATCATCAAATGATACATCCGAATTTCCATTTCTTTCTTTTCAACATTTTCGTCGGAAATCTTTTTAGATATATTGGACATGAACATCATCTCACAGTCCCGCTCTATCTCTCAAAACCAAACAAAGAAAAGCAGAAGAGCGTGTAAAACAAGGTTAGTACAGCATACTTTAAGGAAGAATTCGTAATCGACTTCATCATCCTGATTCTGATACAAATCTTGAATAAAGGAAGCTCTCTCCTTCTCCGTAAGATTCTCCCCGACAACTTTAAGCCTCGACATCTTGGAAGCCAAGTCTCCAAGCGTAAGCCTCCCGTTCTCTCTCTTCATACTCATATACTGCAAAATCCAATCAGATCCAAACCAACAACACTAAGAACCAATCATCTCAACACCAAAACAGCCAAAACATAAACCAAAAACGAATCCAGAATGCCAGAGAGCACAAAACAAAAGGCACCAGAACTCACACACAAGAAGAATGAAAACAAAAGAAGGAGAGAAGTAACATACATGAGACTTGAGGCTCCGGAGCTCGACTTGAGTGAACTGATTCTGGAGCCATGGATCTGAGACGAGAACGCCAACGTAGCCCGACATGGCTCCGGTTTCAGTGACGATACTGATAACAATTCTCCTCTTTCTTCCTCAGAAATCAGAGAATGGAAGAAGAAGGAGAAGAAGAATGGCGAATGGCGATGGTAGGCCAAAGCTTGGAAGCTGTCAGAATTTCAAAGTTTGTTAGGGGAGGAGAAAGAAAGAATTCAAATAATGACTTCACTATCCTCATTTCACTTTCTCTCTCTATATATTAAAATAAATAAATAAATAAAAGAAAGAAGCAACAAAGAAGTGAGCGTTGTACTCAAGCTGGGCCACTGTTGTCGTTTAAATTATTATTATTATTATTATTATTATTATTATTTTCCTACTGTTATTTATTGTGACTAAAATACCCTTCCAAACGGCTAAATAAACCCTCCAATTTTGACGTCTTATTTGTTTTTATTCGTTATTCAAAATTTTCAAATACTAAGGCTTTATTTAGTCTTACGTTTTGAATGTATATATATACATATATATATATCACAATTTTCAAATATTATAGGTCACCCGTCCTCTTGAATTTTGTCATATTTTTTGCCTACATAGAATGTCGTGTGTTAGCCCGAACTAGTCCGTTGAGGGTAACAAGGCTGACTTTAGCAGCCTCCTTGGACCATACCCGCACTACACTCTCATTTCAAGTTATGTATGTTAATTATGAATCTACAAGAAACGACGACTATGAATTGCCGTAGTTCGTTAAGAAGATGATTTGAAGCTGAAATGAGATGGCGGCTGTCGTTCGAGACTACGAGCTACTGTGAGAAAAAAAACATCTTCAACCCAATTTTTATAGGCGAAATAGGTCAGCTCTATCTAATTATAACTTAAAGTTTAATGGTAATTAAATAGCTAATCCCGAAAGTATATGGAAGCAACGCACAATACACATAACTACTACCATTATCAATGCATAATCAAATACAAATAATCAACCTTTTATCACAATTAAATGAAAAAATATATAAAAATTATTTTTTTTAAAAATGCTATTTTGATAAATTATTATTGGAAATAATTCAAAAATATTATCAACATTATTAATTATCTCTATCAGAAGAATTATTATTGTGAAAGGATGCTTTTTTAAAGAAAATAATGATGGAAGGATTTAAATTAAATTATTGATAAAAAAAAAAAGTAAATAATTAGGGAGTTCAATAAATAAAGGACACGTGTCTATTTTCTTTGAAACTCTCTCACTCCAAGTACAATTTATATTATAATTCAAATATATATATAGAGAGAGAGAGAGGGAGCTAAGAGTAATTATTTATAACAATCCTTTAATTATTTTTATTTTTATAAAAATGAAAACAAATGTTAATTAGTTGAGATAAGATAAATTATTCATTCAAGGTCGAAATTACGAAAATAACCTTGGCGTGAAACTTACAAGAACACGGGAGCAAGAAATGAAAGATAGACACGTGTCAGTGGTAAAAATAAAATTCAAAATTCAAAATTCAAATTTTACGTCAAAAGAAAAAGGGCAGCTTCGTCATTTAATAAGGCGGCAAAGTTTGTATGAGAAATTTGACAAGTTCGTTTGGGAAAGCCTTTTTTTTTTCTTTTTTTCGTTCAAAATCGAATTTTGAAATTATGTTTGAATAATAATTGTTTAAATGTTAATTTTTAAATATCATGGGTCTCCCAATCTTGAATAAATTTGTAAATATTTAATTTTAAATCTAACCAATCTCGAGCTTCAAATAACTTGTCAATGAATTTTTAAAAAATATTAAATAAGTTATAATAAAATGAAAATGCTTGATCGGTTCAAAAACTCTCGAGTGATAGATTAAAGATCCGCTCACCAATTTTGGAATCTAAAAGTGACTTTTAAATGTTGTCGGGATGCACCAATTGATAAGAGGAGCTCAAATTAGTAAGCAAAAAAGAAGACCCGCTTCGCTTAATGGACCGAAAAAGAATTGAAGCATCCTACTTCACAGCACAAGCCACCATTCCCTCGAAGGGCTCCACTTTGACCTGTTAGTCTCACGATTTTAAAACGCGTTTACTAAGGAGAGGTTTCCACACCCTTATTTGAAGCATTCTACTTCACAGCACAAGCCGCCATGCTCTCGAAGGGCTCCACTTTGACCCGTTACATATCATGTCAACCTCACGATTTTAAAACGCGTTTACTAAGGAGAGGCTTCCACACCCTTATAAGTATTGTCTTGATTCACCTCTCCAACTGATGTGGCTCACAATCGAATCTCTAGGAGGTCCAGCGTCCTCGCTAACACATTACCCAATGTCTAACTTTGATACCATTTATAACAATCTAAACTCACCGTTAGCCGATATTGTCCACTTTGGCCCCGATTTCAAAACGTATCTACTAAAGAGAGATTTACACACCCTTCTAAAAAATGTTTCGTTTCACTCTCCAACCGATGTGAGATCTTACATAGATCCACTCTGATTGCATCCCGAACTTGTTCTCGACCTATGATATCATATTGTAATAAAAAGTTAGGGGTTGGGGGAGCGTTGTTTGAAAAAGAAAAGAGAGGAGGGGTGAGTGGCATGACAAGTGACGCAAGGCTTACTACTAATTATTTTGACATCATGTGCAAGGCCACTGTTCTTTAAAGTAGCCTCACGTGCCAAGTCCATCCCTACCTTATTTATTTATTTAAATAACTTTTAGCTTCTAAAAAGAGATAGAAAAAAAAAAAGAAAAAAAAAAAAGAGGTTAATGGGTCCATTTCTTTGTTTTATACATTGAGCTAAAGGCAAATACAAAAGAAGATAGGGAGTGATTAGCAAAAAATAAAAAATAAAAAAAGAAAAAAGAAAAAGGGTTCCTCTTTGCATAAAACAGAAACATCCTTGCTGTGTTTGCTTCTACTTTCCCTCAGCATTGAAGATGATTACAAAGGCCCCATTGGTGTGTGTACATTGAAGCAAATTTAATACACTTTGTGGGGCCTTTCTTCACATGCTACTCTACTGGCACCTTCATATTTCCATCATGTTGGCTGATTTGGGCTGATTTTTGCTCTTGATTCCTGTTATCATTATAGCATCAATGGAAGATTGATGATTCAATACAGAAAGCTCAGACAACCAATGAAAGCATGCTGGTTTCGATTTCGATTCGACCCACGATAAAAAGAAGTATGCAGGGATGTTCTTGTTTTTTTCTTCCTGCTCGAACGATTTCTCGGAGATGATTGATATTTTTATAGGATTTCTGGTCCCCTCTTTTGATTCATGTACTTTGAACGGAATGAGAAAGGAGTGGGTAATATGAAGTCTTTTACAAGGGGACCTCAACGAGGAAGAACAGGGTGGGGCTTTCTGAGATCCCATACTGGTTGGAGAGGGGAACGAAGCATTCTTTATAAGGGTGTAAAAAACTCTCCTTACTAGACGGGTTTAAAAACGTGAGGCTGACGGCGATATGTAACGGGCCAAAGGGTGTACACACTTTTTTTATATATATAAGACAGGGGGGAAATCATTTTGCTTCGCCTTTGGGGGTATTAATAAAACCCCTGTTTTCTAGATGCACATACTGACATATGAAGTGTGATGGAGCGTACCTTAATGATAGCACAGAGACTAGAATGCTATTTCCTCAAGAATGTGAAGTGTCTTCTGATGTACCTGTTTTGGGGATAAAAAAATTAGAAGGGGGAAAAATATACCAAAAAGGAGAAGCCAAAGGGTTTGAATGGGGTAAAAAGATTACTACTAATTGAAGAAATGTTCTAAATGCAACCCAAGTTAAATAACCATTGACAGCTCGGTAAGTGTGAGATCGCACGTTGGTTAAGGAGAACGAATCATTGTTTATAAGGGTGTGGAAACCTCTCCCCAACTGACACGTTTTAAAAACTTTAAGGGGAAGCCCAAAAGGAAAAATCCAAAGAAGATAACATCTGCTAGCATTGGGTTTAGACTGTTACAAATGGTATCAGAGCCAAACACTGGGCGACGTGTCAGCGAGGAGGCTGAGCTCTGAAGGGGGTGGACACAAGGCGGTGTGCCAGCAAGGACACTGGGCCCCGAAGGAGGTGGATTGGGGGGTCCACATCGATTGGAGAAGGGAACATGTGTCAGTGAGGACGATGGGCTCCGAAGGGGGGGAGGGGGGGGGGGGGAATGG